CCCTCCCTCCCTCCCTCCCTCCCTCCCTCCCTCCTTCCTCTCTCTCTCTCTCTCTCTTTCTTTTTTTTAATTTTAAGAGAAGGATCGATCAGTTGCCTCCAGTAGGCACCTGTGGGGGAAATGAACTGAAAGTCTTTCAGTGTACCAGATGACACTCCAACCAACTGAAATGTCCAGCCAGGGCAGAATTTCATTCCTTTTTAAGGCTGAATAATATTCTGGTGTTATGTATATATTACATTTTGTTTATTCATCTGTTGATGGACACTTGGGTTGTTTCTACCTTTTAGCTATGGTGAATAATGCTGCTAATAAATGGGTGTACAAATACCTGTTCAAATCTCTGCTTTTGATTCTGTTGGTGTATGCCCAGAAGTGGAATTGCTGCATCCCTTAATTTTTTTTGTTTTTTTGTTAATCCTCACCTGAGAATATTTTTTCCATTGATTTTTAGAGAGAGTAGAAGGGAAGGAGAGAAAGAGAAGGAGAGAGAGAGAGGGAGAGAGAGAGAGGGAGAGGGAGAGGGAGAGAGAGAAACATTGAAGTTGAGAGAGATACATGGAATTGGTTGCTTCCTGCACGCGCCCCACCTGGGCCAGGGATCGAACCTGCAATCCTTCGGTTTAGGGGCCAACGCTCTAACCACTGAGCAACATCAACCTGGGCTATTTTTAATTCTTTAAAAAAATATATCTTTATTGATCTCAGTGAGGAAGGGAGGGGGAGGGGAAGAGAGATAGAAACATCAGTGATGAGAGAGTCACTGATCCACTGCCTCCTGCACGCTCCCAACTGGGGATCGAACCCTCAACCCAGGCATGTGCCCTGATGGGGAATTGAACCACAATCTCCTGGATCCTAGGTTGATGCTCAACCGCTGAGCCACGCCTGGCCAGGCTATTTTTAATTTTTTAAGAACCACCATAGTGGCTCCACTATTTTACATTTCCACCAGCAGTGCGCAAAGTTCTAATTTCTCACCCAGTGGATATGAAATGGTATCTCATTGTGGTTTTGATTTGTATTAGTGATGTTGAACATCTTTTCATGTGCTTGTTGGCCATTTGTGTATCTTCTTTGGATATTTATTCAAGTCCTTCGTCTATTTTTTAATAAGATTGTTTGTTTTTGAGTTGCTGAGTTGTAGGAATTAATTATGGAGCTTTTGCCCTTTGTTTTTCTTAAAGAGTCCTATAGTTTCAGCCCCTACATTTAGGTGTTTGATATATTTTGAGTTACTTTTTATATGGTGTTAGGTAAGGGTCCAACTTCATTCTCTTGCATGTGGATATCTAGCTTTCCCAGCACCGTATGTTGAAAAGAGTACCCTTTCTCCCTTGAATAATCTTGGCATCCTTGTTGCAAATCACTTGAGCATATATGCATGGGTTTATTTTGGGGCTCTCTACTCTTTCACTGGTTTCTATGCCTTTAAGCCAGTTTTAATCAAAACCATACTGTTTTGATTACGTTAGCTGTGTTGTAAGTTTTGATATTTATTCAATTTAAATTACTTAAANTGCCTTTAAGCCAGTTTTAATCAAAACCATACTGTTTTGATTACGTTAGCTGTGTTGTAAGTTTTGATATTTATTCAACTTAAATTACTTAAAATTTATTTATTTTTAAAATACATCTTTATTGATTTCAGAGAGAGGAAAGGAGAGGGAGAGAGAGAGATAGAAACATCAATGAGGAGAGAGTCATTGATCGAGCCCACAACCCAGGCATGTGCCCTGACCGGGAATCGAACCCCGATCGCCTGGACCCCAGGTCGACGCCCAACCGCTGAGCCATGCCCGGCTGGGCTAAATTACTTAAAATTTAACTTTAAGTGGCCATATGCGGCTAGTATTTTCCAATTAGTTTTTAAGCTTAAACTTAAGGAGGCAGAGAGACATTTCAAGCTTGAGGTTTGACTACTTGTCATATTGGTTTTTCCCCTTCCCATTCCAGTTGAACTCTAGAATTTACATTCACATTCACTCTCTGCTGCTCACACTAGGGACAGTGGGAATAATTACCTGTATATAGTTTTACATTAAGTGAGGCAAGGGAAAAGGCCTTTGCTGTGGGACTGTTACCAAATTCAAGGGGTTTCTGCTTGGGTTCTGTTCAAGAATGAGACATGGTTGTTCCAAGGTCATTCTATTTACTTGTAGCAAGTGTCTAGGAGGCTTAGCCATTGCCTTTATACACTATTTGGTCAATTACATGTTTATTTCTCCTTTGCAATTTGCTACACTTATAGGGTTGGGTTCCTGTCAAGCTCATCCTGTTTACAGCCGGTCTGCAAAATACTGTGCTGCTACATTTAGCATATTTTAACATTTAGCAAAAATAGCATTTAGTAAGAATGGCCCAGACCTTCAGACCCTTGTCCTATGTAACAGGACCTTACAGGAAAAAATGGCCAGACTCTTTATTTGTTGTTTAGAGTACTTAATATTTCCTTCTGGATGGATAATGGTTATCTTCTTTTCAAAAAGAACAGGTGGTGTGTACTCAGTAGTTTTCTACAACCAAGAGTGTGAATGCAGGAAAATGTGACAGCAAGTTAGATCTGTAATTATACCTTCCATTTACTTATACGGTGCTTTACACTTCACATGCATTATCACCACTGATCCTTAACCCTATTTAGTGGGTGAGGAAATTGAGGTTTAGGAAGGTTGAATAGTTCCAGACCTAATAAATGGCAGTTAGCCTTTGAAAGCAGATCTTCTAACATAGTTGGGTTTTGTGAAAGACCAAGGTGAATTCATTCACTCAACCCTGTTTACTCAGCATCTACTATATGTCAGCACCGTTGTAGGCTCTGGGGATCAGCCGCGGCCCCCAAAACTCCTTTAGGCAAGACCTCCTCTGCTGTGCTGGCCATGTCCAGTGTCTAGTGCGATAGACAAGGTCTCAGCTTTGCTTCCCTCATTACATTTTTAAGTAATTCCCCCTCCCCCCCCATTATTAGTACTGCAGCATCCTGCTCTTCCTCTACAAAGAGATTATGATGATCCCAAGTAGCAAGTTTGATTTCTGCTTGACTTTTCCCTTACCCCAAGTTAAACTCCAATGGGGCAGGGACCTTGTGTTTTCTGTTCATCACCGTATCCCCACTCCTTTCAGAGTGCATCGCATATAATAGGAACCCAGGAAATACTTGCTCATTGATTGGATGTTAGGATATGCATAGTTCTTCTAAAGGAAATGCTGCACGACCTGGCCTCATAGGTTAGACCTTGCCTCGGGACTTCGATAGCCACGCCCCTCCTCTGTCCCTAGAAGGAGTAAAGGGAGCCCAGCCTTGGTCCCGCCCCCGCCGTGACGCAGCGCACGTGATGCGCGCTGGCGCGCGCTGTTCCCGGAAATCGCCGCCGCGCTCTCCGTCGCCGGTACCTCAGCCGCCGCTGCAGTCGCCGGGAACTCTGCGAGTAGAACGGCGGAGGCGAGCCCGGGCGGGGCCGGGGTTCCGGCCACCCTACAGAATGGAGATAATCAGGAGCAGTGCGTGTCCGCCGTGCACCTCCCCGCATCCCCACGGTCCCCCTCACTCGGCCTGCTAGGCCCGGATCACGGCCGCCCAATCCGCTTGGTGGGGCCTGGGGCTGAGGCAGCCTCTCAGGAGTTTGCCCTCCTCAGCCTGTGTGCCTCTGGGGGGGGGCTTGCCCCTCTCTGGCCCGTGTCCCCCTGGGGGCCTTGTTCTCCTGCCCAGCAGCCCTCAGGGCCTTGCTCCTCTCTGGCCCGTACACCCTCAGTCCTTGTCCCTTTCCAGCCCCTGCACCCTTGGGGCCTTGACGCTCTCTGTACCGTGCATCCCTGCAGTACTTGTCCTCCGGGCCCAGGCCTTAGAAGCTCCTCGGCCCTCCTTCCCTCCCCCCTTA